AAATAAAGTAATGAACTTTGCACAAAGCATTCTGATATCATGGGCAGTTGAAATGCTAAACACTTCTTTGCTTATAAACCCAATTAATATTTTATCTTGGGAATTACAAACATCTATCACCAAATTCCACTGCATTCCAGTAAGTGCCATTGCTAAAAAAATCTGTACACAAGTAAATATGTTACCAGAAAAACAAATTTCACTGTGATAGCTACAAATTTCATATAAAATTGAATATTTCTTATCCAAGAATATTTTGGGGGAAAGGGAATTTGCATTTCACCTGAATCAAATATGTAATTTTGTCTTCCTTACTGCTATTCACAGCTATTAAAATCAGTGGGAGTTTTGTTCTTGGTGTAACTGGAATGCATACAATACTTTAACAGGAAATCATACTACACCTACTCGAACTTTTGGCAAGACTCTCCTCAGTGTCTCTGTAGGATTCTGTCGCATCAGGACTGGAAGACTTGCAACCACGCTTGTCCCTTGGATGTCTTGACCAGAACTTATTAAAAAAAGAAAAAATAACTTTTAAAAAACATTTCCTATGAGATCAATTTTAGCAAAAAGAAAAGAAAAACTGCCATGAAATGAAACCTCATTTCATTAAAATATATAAACCAGATAAATCTGTTTTAAAATTAAAAACACATGAAACAGAAATCATTATTTACAAATACTATTAACAGAACACAATAAACAAAACTCAGTAAAACAACCCCACCATTATGATTTGCTTTAAATGAATTCAAAATATTTCAATTTTTACTATCAGACCTTCCTCAGTGTATCATTTAACTGATATACACAACATGCTTCTGAGGCAGAAAACTGAGCTAAATTCTCATCGTATAATGACGTAGATTTATTCACCCAAGGTCACAAGTTTTGGAATATTTCTCATTTCCAAATTATTATTTCAATAAGGAACATATTTTGACATTATTATATTTTAGAGCATAATAATTTAACCTGAGGGGACTTGAGAATAATTGATTTTGTATCTATTAGTGCAGTTCTTTGAGTGGGTCCCTGAATTCATACACATAGGTTATGCATTTGCACAGAGACCTATTCAAAACCTTCCAGAACTTAAAAGATTTATTTGACAGGATGCCCTGCCATCTCATGTATATCATGTGACTATTTGAACCCTTTCAGATTTTAAAAATAACACAGCAGATCTGAAGGAAAAATAAGATCACCTGAGAACAAGCAAAGTAGAGGAGTAGGCTGTGTGAATTCACAATTGACCACTCAAAGAATGCAAGTAGAGGTAAATAACCAGCTTTTCTTCATCATGGTCTCTTCACAAACAAGGTTCAGCAGCAAATTATTTATTTGGAGGGGGATCCGGAGAAGGGGAATGATGCCTAACTTTGCCTACTGAGTCAGCTGCATGACAAACTGTATTTAATTCTTACTTGACAAAATAATGTTGCTTCTGTTTAAAAATGCTGGCAAATGAGGTAGGAATGAAGATATCTTCTCCTACAAAAATGAAATATATCAAAGAGTATAACTTGAGTCCAAAATTAGTTTTCTGCCCTCCTTATCCTGAATGCTGAATGCAGAATGGTGTTGATTGTGAAAATCCAATTCTGATGTCTCACTATTTATTTCTTATTTATTCTACTTATATATACTGCCAAATAAATACAGACTCATGGTGGCTTACAAAATTATCAACAAAAACATCATGACATTTATTTATTTATTTATTTATTTATTTAATTTATTTATTTATTTATTTATTTGTATGGCACCCAATCCAAAAAAGCTCTAGACGGCTAACAACCTCATCATAAAATAAGACATTGATTAAAAAAAAGCAAAAATCCAGAAATCAAAATCAATCAAAGTCAAAAAATGAAGCCAGAAAATTATAGCAATCATGTACTTGCAACCTCCCTTCTAATCAAAGCATCCCTTCCTCCTGTGCCAGGTGGAATAGGTGGTTCTTAACAGCTTTCCTAAAGCCTAGGAGAAACATAGATAACCCAATCTGTGAGGGAAAGGAATTTCAAAGTGTGGGGGTGGCTACTGAGAAAGCAAGCTTCTATGCCCCCATCAGATTATAAAGGGAAGGGATCTGGAGGGAGCTGACCTTGTTCAATCTGATCAGATTGGCAGTTCAGTACAGTAGAAGGCAGTCCCTTAAATAGCCATGTACAGCTTTAAGAGTTACAACTAGTACCATGAATCCCATCTGGAAGCCAAATGGCAGCCAATGTAGCTCCCTAAGCAGTCAAGTAACCCACATATACAGGGATACACCTAACACTGCCCAGTCAGCTCCATTCTGTATCAGCTGTAGCCTCCAAATGTTCTTCAATGGCAGCCCCAGGAACAGCACATTATGGCAATCTAAGTGGGAAGTGACTAGGGCATGAGTGACTATGAGAATGCCTATGATCCAGGAATAGCTGCAATTGGTACATAAGATGTAACTGTGTAAAAACCCTCCTTGCTAGAGCTGCCACTTCCTCATTGAGCAGGAACTGTGAGTCAAGAAGGAACCCCAAATTATAAACCATCAATAACTAATAAAAATTACAATAAATTACAGCGATAGTGATAATGAAAAATAAATAAAACAAATCATAGCAAAACCAAATAAAATAATACCAACGCTTAAATCAATATAAATAATTTAAAGTAAAATGAGCTAAAGACCATGATAAAGAGCTATTCAACCAAACTTTCTTCAGAAATTCCATTTTCAGTAGCTTCCAGAACATTAGAAGGAATGAAACAATAATTAATTTTAAGGTGAGACTATTCCACAAGGGTGGAGCAGCAATTAAGAAACAGTACCTCCTGGTCCCCATTCTCCTTATATGCATATTCCCTTACTACATAAAGATTGTCAATGTGAGAAGAAATCAATAGCATCAACATAGCATGGTTGCTGACGTTTCTTCCTCCACTTTTAAAACCACATTTATTTTAGAATACTAATGCTGTATATGACATGGGTAGGCTAGAATCTTGGGGACTTTTAGTTGCTGATCTTGCCACACCAAAAAGAAAAGAAAAAAGAAAAGAAAGAAAATCTGAAGCTGCAAAAACTGAATTACACTGGAAGCATAAAATGATATAGTGGCCAACAGACTGGAAGAGGTCAGTCTACATACCAATACCACAGAGAGGGGATTTAACAGTGTGTGGAAGTTTTCATACACTACGCTTAATTTCACAGATTATTGTTTAGGATAATCCAATGCAGATTAGAGCCCTACACGGAAAGGGAGATGCCAGAAGTTCAAGATGGCTTTAGAAAAGGCTGATAAACACAAGACTTTATCGCTGATGCATTCTGGATTATTGAGAAAACCAAAAAATATAACTAAGAAGTTGGTATGTGCTTCTTTGATTATAGAAAGACAATTTCTTCAACTGGTTTCATCATATCAATCTGTGGAATGTGCTTTAAAAAAATGGAATTCCCAGAACATTTCATTGTCCTCTTGCAAAACCCATATACAGGTCAGGAAGCCACAATCCAGACAGAAGATGGCAAAACAGATTGGCTCCAAGTTGGCAAAGGAGTGAGACAAGGCTATATATCTCCCCTTATTTATTCAACCAATATGCTGAATATATAATGAGAGAAGCTGGATTGGAAGAAGATGGGCATGGTTTTAAAACTGGAGGAAGAAACATCACTAACCTGTGCTATGCTAATGACACTATGCAAAGGATCTACAAGCCCTGGTAATACAAGACAAGGTGTGCAATAAAAAATGGGACTAAAAATATGTATAAAGAAGACTCTCATGATCTTTTGGAAATCGTCTGGTCTTCCCCAGGTCTGGCAAGAATGGGACACCAGCTCCAGGGAAGGAAAGAGAGGCATGGCCTGGGGAACAGCACGAGGTGGTGAAGGCCAGTGGTGCGGATGTGAGGCGGCATTTCTCAGTGGCAGCAGCAATGCTGGGGCTGAAGTCAAGGCCTGAGGGTAGTGGCAGCTTGCTGAGACTGCTGAAGACCTTGGACCTCTACTTCAGCTCCATCCCTGGCACTGCTGCCAACAAGTGCTGCTGTGCAGGGCAGCAAAAAGGGCATAGAAGGGGGGAGAGAGATAGGCAGGTGGGGAGAGTTACGGGGCCCCTGCAGTCATTGACTGCAGGCAGGCTGCCAAGCACCTGAATTTTGATCACGTGACCATGGGGGCACTGCAATGGCCATATCTTTGGGCACAGGTTCTAATTCAATTTTTTCAGCACCGTCATAATTTCCAACAGTTACTGAACGTATGGTCGTTTAGCGAGGACTACCTGTACAGTGCTTTAAAGCAGTGTATCTTTCCTGGGGATCTCACAATCCCAAGTATGCTGATCTATAATCATAATAAAGATTTGATTTGATTTGATCTCACAATCCAAAGAAAAGACAGAGCCATGTTCTGCCTTTCATTCATTCTCTGACGCACTTTGCAGGAATTGAATCTGCAGCCCTGCACAACCCTCACAGGTTAAGTTATGTAAAGAGAATTCTTTGTTTACTGTCAATACCTGCTTCAAACAAAACAAATGCACACACACCAACATCAATGGATGAGCAACATCAGAATTTAGGCTATTAAGACTAATGCAAGTGTCAGAATAGCTAATTATTTTTCTGAGGACTTTTCAGAATTAATTAATTAATTAATTAATTTATACATAGACTTATCCCCGCCCATCTCCCCGCAATGGGGGACTCTGGGTGGTTTACATCAAATTAAAACAAATACATAATTAAAATTTATAAAAAGACAAACACATCTACACAAATGAAAAGAAGAGAAAAAATCCAAGAGGTTGATGGAAGCCACACCAGGCCTCTAGGGGGCTAGCCAACCCCATTTCTGACAACCTCCCTCCCCGCCCCAGGCCAGATGGCAGAGCCAGGTCTTCAAATCCCTCCAAAAGGCTGGGAGTGAGGGGGCCTGTCTCACCGCTGGGGGCAAGATGTTCCAAAGGGCGGGGGCTACAGCAGAGAAGGCCAGCCTTCTGGCCCCCGCTAGTCAGAGTTCTTTTGCCAAGGGGGTCTGGAGCATGCCCTCTCTGTGAGATCGGGTGGGATGGGTTGAAATTGTGGGGGCAAGGCGGTCTCTCAGGTAGCCTGGCCCCATGATGCCATGTAGGGCTTTAAAGGTGATAACCAACACCTTGAATTGGACCCGGAAGCAAACTAGTACCACGATACTGTTGTAAAAACTGAATAAGAAAAACAGAGAAGTCCAGAATAGGAAAGGGAAGGGAATGGACCTTGTCCATGAACAATGAGCCCTATCCAACAAAATATAGTTCAGTGGTGGGAAATAATAAGGTTCTGCACTTAGGCAGGAAAAATCAGATGCATAGATACAAGATGAGTGGCCCATGACTTAGCAGTAATACTTGTGAGAAGGACCTTGTATCTTAGTAAACTACAGATTAAACAGGAGCAAGCAATATGTTGCAGCTGCCAAAAGACCAATGCAGTTTAGAGCTGCATCAACAGAGGTATAGTAGCAAG